TCTCGAGGTTTTTGGTAAGTTGTAGACTTGTTGCTCATCATGACTCTTCTTCGGCATACGTTGGCCATACCTTGGCTAAATATAGTTGATCAGGCTATATTAATCCAAGATCTGACTACATACCCCGAAGCTGGATCATGGTGTCGAACTTGTCTCAATACTTTTATGTTATTGCCATTATGATACTGAATTAATGAGTGCGATTGTATGTATACTTTTATAAAAATACAAAATTTTATTTTTAAAGTACTTTTGAAAAGTTACTTAGAGAATTTTTGTCCCGTTGTATTTATAGTTTGTATATTTTACGTGGTTCGATATACTTAGTTCACTATAAACAAAGCTCTGATACCAATCTGTCACACCCCCAAACCGGAACGGCGGAAACGTTCGGGGGCGGAGAACGTCATGCTCAGTATCATAACCATAGTGAAGAAAGTAAACACAACCATCATAAATATAATTTAAAAGGTTACATCGTTGCAAAAATACATGTTTCCAAATAAATTACATATGATGTTAAAATATTGCAAAAATCTGCGCCTTATCGTCTTGCCTTGAAAAATCTTGTGGTTACATGTATTACTGAATACCTGAGAATACAAGTTGTTTTTGAAAGAGTATCAACATTAAAGTTGCTGAGTTCATAAACAATTTATGAATGAAAAATGGATGTTGTTCCTTAAAGTTTGTTTCAAGTTTGTTTCCAGAAAATCCAATATTTTCTAAAAGGTTTGTTGTAGTCTTAACTGAACCAAGACTTAGTATATGTAAGTAAATCGTCATACTTATGTGTGGTTTTATATTAAAATAAAACTCATTTTTTTGGAATTCTTAAATCCCCGTGAACTGTGTGTTTTGTTAATTCCCCATGTGAGTTGTTATAACCATGCTAAAACTCGAAGGCCTCATACTCGACGTTCTTCAGACGTCGGAATGTTATGACATTTGTCACCCCAGACCTGCCAGTCTAGCTGTTGCAAGCAGCTTAGGTGTTGGTTTGTCAGACCCAATATAGATCTATACACAACTATCACGCTCTCCCTACAAGAGATTCTGGTTATAACTACAGGACTTTTCTGTGGTACTTAAGAGTACCCCGAAGGTGAATGTCTCACAATTTTATTCATTAACAAGTTCACGTAGTTTGTAATGAAATACCCGTTTTGTAAATCGATTGTATTACCACTTCTTTGTTAAACGAGATGTTCAAACTATACCTATTATAGTTTATCAAGAGTGTTTTATGATTTAATGAAACCTTGATATGCATGACTTTGTATTTCAATAAAAATGACATTGAAATTACTAAGTGTAAATCTTACACACCTTGCTCAACATGTTACAAGGTGTGAATAACTCTTAAACTTGTTTTGACAATTTTACCCTTAACTGTCCCTGATTTAGAATATTCATAGAAAAATCATCGTAAGTCAAAAACTGAATCCGTAAACTCGGAGAGTTTGTAAAAAGAGTCTACTGTATTCATAAATTTTCTTATAATTTTTGGTGGTCTCAAACCAGTGTTAAAACGTTCATATTCACAGCCTGGTCTGATTTTGTTGTTGCGGTGATAGGCAGTTTTGTAAAAATCGTCATATATTGTAGAAAAATCGTATAAACGCGTGCGAGTACTCCTTAGAAAGGTATAAACTTGAACTACTTTCATATTATACAGTTTTGAAAAATATTAAGTTTAAATCGGGTAAAACAGTTCGTGAACAGGTCACAACTTTTCTGTTGTACGCTGTCAAGTAAGTTTTAAATATGTTTTGGTGTTTTAACTTGTATTCCCCCCCCCCCCCCGAAAACTAAAGAAAACTAGAAAATGTAGGGGTATGAACTCACCTTGAGTGATTTCTTGAAGAGTGTAAGGTTGAAGATGAGGAGTATCAAGTCAAGAACACTTGATGAACACGTGAAGTTTTGGATGATCCAAAAAGTGAAGTAATAGCTCTAGAACACCTTCAAAAAGTGGCTGGAAGTAGAGAGAAAAAGAGGCTCTCTTGATGGTTAAGAAGTGTGTAAGTGTTTGATGGTGAAGAAAATGATCAAGGAAATCAAGAAATCCTCCAGGGATTTCCTTATATAGAAGGTTGCTGGAGCAATTTGCAAAGTTGAGAGGATGTTTGCCTTGGTTTGTGTGATGTGGATAGGGTTGGGCTAATGAGAAGGTGACACATGGAGGCAAGTGGGCACACTTGACCCACTTGTGGGGTAGAATATCCTTAGATATTTATCTTAATGAAAATAATGATTTATAATTTAATAATTCCTTGAGATGTGAGTAAAATATGAGTTTAGGGAGTTTAAAATGATAAAAATATGAATTTGGTGAAAAATCCCCGTCAAAAACGGGCTTAACAGGCGAAAGTAGTCGAAAACTGGACAAGAAGGGGCGAACCTGCGAAGGTTCGGTTCTTGGTGTTGAGGACCGAGAGTGAGAAGGAGGCGAAGGGTAGTTCGGGTCCGAAGGCGAGAAGAAAGCGAAATGGACCGAAGGCTCGGTTCATTTCGGTTGTCTTTAAGGTTCGGTCCGAGACTGGCTTCGGTTCTCAGGGAGGTTCGGTCCGAGGTTAACTTCGGTTCTGAAGGGACCTTCGGTTCTATGTAGTTCGGTTCTCCTAGTTTCGGTTCCCTAGGGTTCGGTTCCTATGGGTTCGGTTCCTAAGGGTTTCGGCCCTATTTAGCTGTTTTTCAAGTAAACTTCCCGTTTTGAGTGATTTTTGGCCAAGTTAAGGGTCGGGATGACCCGGATGACTATAAAAAGTTGAGAGAGATTTTGAGAGAGGTTTGGGAGAGATTTGGGAGAGATTTGATTTTAGTCAATATTAGTGTATAGTCTCGCAATGCAAGGTCTGTGAACCCCTTTATGCTTTATTTATGATTGTTTTAAGTCCCCGAAAGAGTCCATAGTCGTGTTTTGGTGCATTTAACTCCCTTCTTAGGGCTTTACATTGCTAAACACATAAAAATCTCCGAGACACTTGAATTCTTGACATACAAATGCACATTTTCATAGAATAACTTTTAACATAGAAGTAGTAGTTAAGTTTGGCCGGTTTGACTTGTTGACTTTGACTTTGACTTGTAATTGACGGCTGTCACATGTCGAAGCCTCGGGAGCGGTCCAGATAGGTTGTAGGTTCTGCGAGGCGGTCCGGTCAGGATGATGGCTTAGTATGCATGTTGCTTGTTATGATATGGTTATGTTTGTATGTCGTTGGTATTTTGGGGGAACTCACTAAGCTTCGGGCTTACAGTTGTTGATTTTGTTTCAGGTACCTCAGATCATCGCAGGAAGGTGAATGCGTGATCGTGCACCTCCTCATGTTTTTATGATTTGATTTCTGGGATACTCTGACATGAAACTATTTTGAAAACAATTTGTAATAATTATTGGTTTTGAATGATTTAAAAAGTTTTAAATTGGCTTGGATTTTTATGGATGTTACAATATGACTTCCTAACCGCATACATATATATAAAATAAAAAAAATATTTTTATTAAATAAAAAAACATTTTATAATTTTATACTAACATTATTAGTAAATTTTTGTGACATGTGCCACATACACAATCGATGTCTCGCACTCTTGAATACAGCTGGTACTGCTTGTTAAATTGCACCATCTTGATCTGTCAAAATCACATTTGGGTCTTTGAGAAATGCTTTTTTGAAAGCATGTAGTAGCCATGAATAAGATTCAATGCTTTCAGTTGAAAGTAACTCAGCTCCAAAAGTTATGCATCGTTTATGATTATCTATACTAGTAAATGGTACAAAAAGCATCCTATATCTGTAAAACAAAGAAAGAACAAATTTATATATTCAAATTTTTAGTAATGATGCAAATTATTTATTTAAAATTTTTAGTAATGATGCAAATTATTTATTTAACGTTTTAATATTATTAAAGTAGTGATCCAGTTATTTTTATATATATAGAATTTCAAAAATATAATTATTATTGTTGATAGATTAATATTTCATAAAATTAATGATTGTAAATACGATGATTCAAAAATATAATTTAAGGACTTATATATTATTTATTTAAATTTGACCTAATTTAACATAATCATTAAATGATTCATTAAAAAAATATTAATATTTAAAATTTTCCTAAATGATTCTCTATTAATAATAATTATAAATATGATGATTCAAATTATAATTACATTAAAGATTTAATTGATTTTTGAATCTTTTATTTTAAAATTTATATTCAAAAAATCTAATGATACAAAATTTTTATAATTAAAAATAATGATCCACTATTCTAATATTTGTAAATTAAATAATTCGAAAATATAAGTAAATTATGGAGTCACTTACTTGTTTGTTCGGTAAGTTACATCAAAACCAAGAACATCTCCAAATGCAAAATAGTTTCAAAAATATTTCATTATTATTGTTGATAGATTAATATTTCATAAAATTAATGATTCTAAATACAATGATTCAAAAATATAATTTAATGACTTACATACTATTTATTAAATTTGATCTAATCTAAGATAATCATTAAATGATTCAATAAAAATAATATTAATATTCAAAATTTTCCTAAATGATTCTCTATTAATTATGATTATAAATATGGTGATTCAAATTATAATTACATTAAAGATCCAATTGATTTTTGAATCTTTTATTTTAAAATTTATATTCAAAAAATCTAATGATACAAAATGTTTATAATTAAAAATAAGGAAAATGACACATATAGCCTACGAATTGTTTAGGGTTGACCCTTTTAGTCACTTAAGTTTTTTCGTGGCTTTATGAGGGAACCAAGTTGTGGGCAACCTGTTCTTTTAGTCCCCTTTACTTGTTTTATCTGGTTTAGGGGACACATAGACAAAACTTGGGTCCCACCCATCTCTCTCTCTCTCTCTCACTGATTTAAATAGTTATAATGATGACTGGATTATTGCTACATCTTTCTGTTTAAATTGATGTATGCATCGTGTTATTATCGAAAGATTCAAAGCAATGGCTCCACCGAAGGTTCCCATGGAATACGAACAACGTGAAGAAACGCAATCTCACATTTCAAACAAGAAACAGGGCATCATAAAGAAAGTTAACGAACTCGCAACCCTCTGTGATGTCGATATCTCCATCATCATTTGCGTTGATGATCATCAACAACCAGATATCTTCTCTCCCGATGCTGATAAATTCAACAATTTTGTCAATTGTTATGTTCAAAATCGCAGTATTGCACTTGAGAAAAATCGTTGTTATGGTTTGTCACATTACTTTAATGACAGAAAGATCAAGATGGAGAAAGAACACGCTAACGCCAAGAACAACAACATTGAAGAAAAATTTTCAACTTGGTTTAATTTTCTGGACAATCTCTCCAAAATGGTATTACGTGAATTAGCATCAGTCATGGAGGCTAAAATCAGTTGTGTTAAAAACAAGATTGAATCTCTGAAGAAAAAATCAGTTGGGTTTCGTTGCTCCTGCTTGTCCTTATGCTGATGAAAACGAAAGGAGGAAAGGGGTGTTATCAGACGGTCGAAGCACAACAGAGCAACGGCATAGGCTGGGGAGTTTCCTCGCTGGGGATGGGTGGCGGGTGGCAATCTCCAACATTAGAACACGATGGAGAGGGAGGAGTTAATGGTAATAGTAGTTAATGGACTCAGGGGTGAAATGGGTTTGCTGTGATCGACACAATATAAATAGAAAGGAAAAAAAAGGAACGGTGATGGTGGTCGTTCATGGTGGCTCACAGTCGGTGGTTCAACACCCTCGGTGGTGTGTTTCTCCGGCAGTGGGTTACGAGTTGGTCGAGTATCAGCAACACATGTGAGTGTGTTTGGATAGCTCTGATTAGTAGCAAGAGTGAGGAGACACAATGGTAATGGTGATTAGGAGGTGGTGATGTCTGGTGGTTAAGGGTGGAGAAGGTGGGAGTATGTCAGGAAAGAAATAAGAGTTATCACCTTTTGTATTTAGTGTGTTGACTTTGAGAGAGAGAGAGAGAGAGAGAGAGAGAGATGTGGGTCCAAGAGTATGGGAAAATTCAAAGTTAATATACCAAAATTGGTCAAAAAATGTGAATGTATCAAAGAGGTAACCGGGTGACCCTTTCACTTTGGCCAAAAGGATGTAATCGACCTGACAAAAACGACTTTGTTCCCTCATAAGGCTACAAAAATTGTCTAGGGACTAAAAGGATAAACCCTAGAAAGTTCGTAGGGCATTTGTGTTATTTTTCCTTAAAAATAATGATCCACTATTCTAATATTTGTAAATTAAATAATTCGAAAATATTAGTAAATTATGGAGTCACGTACTTGTTTGTTTGGTAAGTTGCATCAAAACCAAGAACATCTCCAAAGGGAGAATAGTTTCGTTTTGCTTCTTCATCCGCCCAAAACAATGCAATCAATTCTTCATTACTTCCAACACTATAATCAAATGAAAAATCCTGTAAATAATCCTTTTTTCTTCTTCAACTTGTCTATCACAAATTCTTCATCTCTTTCTCCAATAAATTCAATCCAATCCCTTTTGAATTTTTTTGTATCTATTCCTGTAGCTCCAGTATTCTTAAAACCACCCTGGACTCTTTCATGTATTTATATGCAACACTTGGTCCCATGTTCACATTTGACATATCATATATTATTTTCTTTTGTGAAAATGTGAGTCTTCTTTCAGAATTTAGAAAATTTTTATCTTCTACATGAACAAAAATATGTGTATGTTCTTCTTTAAGTTCATATATGTGCCATACATTATTATTGTTGATCTTCATTCTCACATATGATTCACAATTTACTCTAATAGAAGGTCTTCTGCGTTTTTTGTTGTTTGAATCTGTTAGAGCATCATATGCTGATTTCTTTTTTGAATCTTGTCTATTACATACTATGTATCTTCTTCCATAACCTTCTACTCCTTTCACTGTCTTTGTAGATCCTATTCTTGTTTCAAAACCACTTTTCCTAGCATATTCTTTATAAAATGCTAAACCTTCTTCAAATGTAGGAAAAGTTTGTCCCTTATAAGGTCTCATATCTACATCTGGGATCCAATATGTTTTTCCATTAATTATTCTCACAATTGGATCACGTATACAATATGATGAAGATTCAACATTCCCTGATGAAAATCCAATATTTGTTGTCATAGAACTATTGTTCATTCATAAAATATTGTATATTAAATCATATTTTACAAAAAAAACAATATTTTTTAATAACAAAATTACCTTGATCATGACTTTCTGAATTTGTTGTTTTATTTTTTCCGCTTTCTGCATCATCAACATGAATTGTACATTCTATATTTGTTGAATATTGATCCATAACTTGTTTTTGACCTAATATTAACATAGAACCTGATATTAACACGATTCTTATATATATCATTGATTATATTTGATTAGCCTTTTGTATTAGTCAATTTCGATATCACTCATCATATTATGAATAAAAATTGAAAACAGATGTTTTTTGTACATTAATTACAATGATCTAAAGTTTTTTATGAATAAAAATTTGATTTTTAACATAATCATAAAACAGTTCCGTATGTGAACAAATGTTGTTATAAATCATGTTTTTCCAATCGTAATGTATTTAACTATCGGCGAATGGAGATTTAAATCAAAGTTTTTACAATAAATTAGATTTTAATCATGTCGATTTCATACATGATTTCATTAAAATCGTAACTGACTTACCGTGTTTTGATATAGAGCATTACAAATCGGCAGTAATCTATCATTTTTAATTCGAATCTAAGCTAAATTTGTGTTATATGAATCTAAATTGTAGAGTTTCAGTAGAAATCGATGATAATTTCAATTTAACCTGATTTCAAATTCTAAAAGAACTTGAATGATGATCGAAGCAATTTTTTTTTTGTTTTTTAAAACATAAATTCATGATTATCAGTAAAAGATAAGCTTTTGATATAAATGTAACCTGATTCTGTATGATTTGTATCAAATATTGAAGATTTTAGTAGAAAGAATCTCGATTTCATCTTTTTTCTTCGAACTACCTTGATGATTGGAGGAGTAGACGACTTGAAAGCTAATGATGTCGTCGTCGGAAGTTATAAAGCCCAACGGTATGTTGTCCAGCTTTAGCAGCCCATTTATTTTATTTTTGGACCTAAATATCCTTAATGAGCTTGATTGGCCACCGTTAGTCCTCGTAGTCCTCACCGAAAAATGAGTCCTCACCGGAACCGGATCCTATATATATATATATATATATATATATATATATATATATATATATATATATATATATATATATATATATATATATATATATATATATAGAGAGAGAGAGAGAGAGAGAGAGAGAGGTTCAGGTATTCAAAGTAATTATTGTGTGATTGTATGCATAAATGTGGGCCAATCAAAATTAAATAAAAATTAAATAATTAAATCAATAAATAAGGGTATTTTAGTAATTTGATTAATAACTTCCAAAAATAATCCATATAATCATGGTATTGACTTTTAACCTAATTTCTCTAGGTTTATATCTAGAGCCGTTCCCCTCTTTATCTAAAAACCAAATCTTGAGTTCTACAAAAATCGATTGCCATTGCCATCAACAATTACTCATCGACGTCATCTGTCCGCCATGTCTCATTCGTCGCTCGTCGCTCCCTTCCGACGTCCACACCTCCGACCGATCCCATCAGGTGAAATTGAAGTTTATTCGAGTTTTACCGGTTGCCATCGTAACCCAAATCCTAACAATCTAGGGTTCATCAAGGTTTGTCGATTTTTGCTGGGCTTGATACATACGAACACATGCTTTTGAGGTAATATTTTTCTTCTTAATAATAAAATTGGTAATTAATCCTATTTATTAGATTTAGTGTTGATTTATTCCCTGTATCTTGCAATTTAAACTTTTTTGTTATCGACATTTTTTTTTTACTTTCATTAGATCTAGAAGCTTTTATTGTAATCTATATACCAATTCTAAACTGTTTATGGAGTTTTTGGCTTGTGGCTATTGGAGGATATCGTCTATTTTGAGATTTAAAGTTCAAAATTCAACCATATTTTTAAAACTGAGATATGTTATTGAATCGCATGTTATATCTATTTGACTTTCATAGTAAGTTTTCTTTTTATTTGTATTAACTTGATTGTTTTTTATATAAAACAATGTTGACAAAAACTTGTTTCCTGGAGCATATATGTTGTGTGGAGATTTGATGAGTTTTTTTATTTTAATATTCATTATATGATGGTTTTCAATTTCATGGATGTTTATTCATTTGTAAGAGGCGTCCAAGTTGTCACAAATTTTACTCCTCCTTTCTGTGTATGATTCATATATTTGTCCATCAACTTATGAAACTACTTTCTAGTAATCCCTTAGTGGTTTGTGTATTTTATACAATTCCAATTCTATCGTAATGGAATCACGAATTCAAATTCTATCGGAATGGAAACACGAATTCTAATTCTGTTGGAATGAAATATGAATATTTTCTCATTGATTATACATGTTCTACAATTTTTGGTTATTGGTTTTGGTGCAGTTAACAAGTCCGCATATTTTTCCAAAGAAATATTGTTTTTTATTTATCATTTGCTAATGCGTTATTGGATTCTAAACTACAATTGGATTTGTTTTCACAGAAGTTGATGCTTGAAGAAGTTGATGCTTGAAGAACGGACAACAAAATTGAAAGTGTTTCTTAGCAACATTATTCTTTTAGAACGAATTAGTGTATTTGTTAGATTTTGATGTTTTTTTTCCCGATTTGAAAGTTTTTTAGTTTTATTCTTTAAAAATAAATGTAATTCTTAGCAATTGTTACATGTATTCTATAAGAATTAATGTAATTTTTGTTTTAATTCTTCAATTGATGGTTCGAGAATTTTGTTATTCTACAATAAATTTTTAAAGTCATGATCAATCAATATGTTCAAGAATATTTTTATTATTTTATGGTTCAAGAATATTTTTATTTTTGAACATACTCAAACATATTTTGTTAGAATGTCCGAATTAAAAACCTTATAATTCGTAAAATCAGATTTTTAAAATTAATAGAACCTATAATCCCTTAAAATATGCAAATTTCCTTTATTAAATCTATATTAATTGACTAAAATACTCTTCTAGTTAAATTAGATGATATTTTTCAATTATATTTAATTCAAAAATATATATTAATCACTTTATTAAAATAAGTAAAATGATTGGCCCACAATCATTCATACATTCACACAATAATTAGTTAGAATATAATAACCTAAGCCTCTCTATATATATATATATATATATATATATATATATATATATATATATATATATATATATATATATATATATATATATATATAGGAGGGTTCAATTGAGAAAAAAAAGGTTGAGAATGGGGAAATCATTCTCAGCCACACATTTATTTTGCCGCAAAACACTTAGACGTACCGTCAGAAATGGATAACGGATAAACATGTGTTTTCCAACCAAACATGTTTCCTTAAACTATGCTAATCATTACCTTAATATACACAAAAACATATTTTTTTTTCGTTTTTTTATTTTTAGAAAGCCATTATTATCGAAAAATTATTTTAAATATATCAAAATTCATAATTTTTTATTCTCTATAAATAGACATCCATATTGATATACTTTTAAGATAAAATAAAAAATTTATTTTTTTTAGAGTTTCAGCTCTCGTTATTCATAAATGAATAAAAAAATCTATCAGATTTTTATTATAGTATATTCGTTATTTACTTATGAATAAAACGTATGCGTAACTTTTTTATAGTTTAAGTACCGTTCATATATGAATATGACACGCAATAAAGTTTTCTTACTTAAAATATATTTTTTACATCATCTTTCATCATATATTATATTTATATATGAATAAAACGTGTATTAGTTGTCGTCATATTTTATATTCATATATGAATAAAACATTTATCAGATTTTTGTTACAGTTAATTTGTTATTCATATATGAATAAGTAGTATAAATGATACTTAAACTGTAAAAAAAATTAATTATATATTTTTATTCATAAGTGAATAACGAATGTACTGTAGCAAAAATCTGATGCATTTTATTCACTTATAAATAACGATAGCTGAAAATATAAAAAAAATAAATTTTTTATTTTATCTTAAAAGTATATCAATATGAATGTCTATTTGTAGAGAATAAAAAATCATAAATTTTGGTATATTTAAAATCATTTTTCGATATAAATAGCTTCTTAAAAATTAAAAAAACAAAAAAAAAAACTATGTTTTTGTATATATTAAGATAATGATTAGTATAGTTTAAGGAAACATGTTTTGTTGGAAACACATGTGTATTCCTTATCCATTTCCGCTGGTACAACAAAGGCTTTTGCGGCAAAAATAAATGAGTGGCTGAGAACGATTCCCCCATTCTCAACCTTTTTTACTTTCTCAATTGAACTTACCTCTATAAAAGTTTATTGATAGTAGTCAATAGGATAAAAACAAATATATATATATATATATATATATATATATATATATATATATATATATATATATATATTAAAATATCAACAATATATAACGGTTCCTATCATATTTTTATTGCATGTTTAGAGTTGAAGAAATAATTGAGGGACTAATACGATCACAATGACAACGACTCAGTCCATATACCAAGTCAACTAATACGACAACTAGCTGGTCCTTTTTAACAATAAAATTAAAAGATTTAGGTTATATGTGTTAATATTCAAACGATTATGTTTTTATGAAGTTATAAATAATAATTTTTTTTATACAAATTGATCAAAGTATTGTATTGTACAACTTTATAAATTATATAAATTATAATTTGTTGTTAATAAAATAAAAGAATATGAGAAAACAATCTTTAAGGTAGAGAAAATTCATAATTTTAAAACTTAGATGAATTGTACTAGAAAAAAAATTGTAAAATCGCAAGTTTCTCTAAAATAAAATATCGAATGTTTTAATGTTATTATAAATATTAAAAAAACACATTATTATATAAATTCACTTAATATTTGGCAAATATTTATATTAAGAAATATTAGATTTATTTATTCCAAATATATTATAAATGTAATTATTATATAATATACTAATTTTGAACTCAGAAATTTCTTTTTTATTTTTTTTATTTTTTGTTTGGTGGGTTTTATTCAATTATTTCCCCTTTTCCTTTATAGTGGTTTCATCTGTTCCTTTTGATACGTGTTATATACATGATTGTTACTCTGTTCCTTTTTGATACGTGTTATATGCAACATTGTTACGTGTTATGTTCTCCTCCCACCCCCACTGCATCCAATTACAAATCGACAGCAAATTTACACCGCCTCAATTCTTTACCTACTTCCTTCACCGCCTTCATTTTGCTTCCCGCTTCCGTCTCTAACACCATACACAAATCCAGTTTCTTCCTCACTTATCTCCGCCGCTTCCGTCTCGATGGTTCTGTCGGCGGCTTTCCTGTTTCCATTCTCGACTCCCTCTTCTCAAAAACGACACCTTAATCGCCGATTGAAAACTGTTGGGTTCGAGATTGACCACCGGCGTAGGCGATTCTCAGCGCACTGAGCAAAGCAGACCACGAAAGCTGTTCTTCTCCACTACGACACCAGTCCTTCCACTCCTCTTCAAGTATCGACTGTGTTCTTCCTGTGTTTTTCTTGAAGGTACGGTTTTCGATTTTCAGTCGATGGTTTCAGTTGGTTGTTGTCGGTTTTCGAATCCAACCATCGATTTCAGTTTCTTCCAATCGTCGCTTTGTACGTAGAGTCTGATTTTTTTGATTTTTTTTTTTTTTTTTTTTTTTTTTTTTTTTTTTTTTTGTTGCGAATGTAGGGAATAACCCTACATTCCAAGACATCCAGTAGAACCTCGCACAGGTAGCTAACACCCCCTGCTTTCTATGTATTTTCGTCATCTAATGACATCAATTGAAGTTGAAGTTGTTATTTACTTCTTCAAAACCTTTTATTTTTTTACAGAACCATAAGCGGGACTGGGAGGAAGCGATTACTCAAACCAACTCAGGTCGGTCTGACTTCCTGGGATTTAAACTAAATTTTATTATATGGTTTGTGTTTGTCCGTTGTTTCTATGAAGGGGTGTGTAAACTGTTACTGATATTTATTGAAACTAGACTTTAGTTTGGAATAAAGCTCACCCAAAGCAGCTTAGAGGAGGTTATATGTATACCTTTTTACCGTTATTGCTTTCAATTGTTAATTATCTATGCTTTTATTTTATAATCTTTGTCTGTTAAGTGGTAATTAATTGTTTTTTCAACGACAGGTAGTAACTTAAACAAAAATGAAATTGTACTTTAATGAGTCAACTGATGATAAAATTAATTTAATATATTAACTAATAATTTGATACTAACCTTTTGTGGGTAAAAGGGCTTTTAAGGACAATTTTTTTATTATTTCGACTCGAACAATCAACTGTTTCTGTTGATTTTGGGTTGTTTTAGCAGGATGATAAAGACAAGGACCATAGACAAACAATGAGATTGACCTTCTTAAGAAGCATTTGAGAGTACGTAAGAAATAAAGAACTTATTTTGTAATGATTAAGAAGGAATTTCACAAAAACCTATAATATAATCTAAATAAAGTAAAAAAACTCATTTAACTTCTTATATGTAAGTGGTATTTAATCAAGTCTCAATGTTTAACTATTGCAGAATAAAGAACTTATTTTGTAATGATTAAGAAGGAATTTCACAAAAACCTATAATATAATCTAAATAAAGTAAAAAAACTCATTTAACTTCTTATATGTAAGTGGTATTTAATCAAGTCTCAATGTTTAACTATTGCAGATGATAAGCATCCAGAATAGTAATATACTGTAAGAAGATATAAAATAGTTAATATTAACACTTTTGTATTTAGTGTATAAATTCCTGAGAAATTATGTAATATATAAAACACGTGTAAAAACTTTAAATAGTTGGTTTGTATCCAGACTCGTAAATTATATTATGAATATGCATGTAGCATGTTTGGAGTAATAATAAAGTAAAGGTATTATAGAAAAGGGTTCTCAGAGGTTTTTTTTTTTTTTTCTTTTGTGTATTTTTTTTTTCTTTTGTGTATGGCTTAGGAGGTATAAAGGTTACGGTTCCAAACTCCTATAATCAGAGCTTTAAGTTTAAAAGGTACCATTTGATTCCTTAATTTTTTTTACTATATGATTATGTAGACAATATATATCCGAATAATGAAATGTGTAATGATTTTTTAAGATACGATACCATAATGTCAAGACTTTCTAAAAATACAATGCTTTAAGTGGCTATTGTTGAATTCGTTTAATTCTTTTTTAGAGAACTTATTTGGTTTTCTGCAGGTTATCATGTGACGAGAATTAAAATAAATAGTTTATCCTACTGCTTTAATTTTGTTATAGACAAAACTTCAAAAATGGTCACTATGGTTTTTGAAAATATCAAGTTTAGTCCTTAAGTTCAAAAAACCTTACAGATGGTCCCTGTGGTTTCAAAACTTTTAACAAATGGTCATTTTCGCTAACTCCGTTAGCTTTTGGCCGTTAAGTGAAGGGCATTTCTGTCATTTCACTACTACAGGGACCATTTATGAAGTTTTTGCCTTATTTAAAAAAAAAAATAATTATTTAATATTAAAGGGTCCCAACCCCCCCCCCCTCTCTCTCTCTCTAGGGATGAAGAATCGAAGCGGAAAAAAACCCAGATCTGCACTCTTTCTCCTTCTAGTCAGACCCACACCTACCGGTGGTGAAGCACCACCATCGCCACTATAATTTTCAGACCACCAACCACCGCCATTGTTGCTCCGTCTCTCTCACAATTATACCCGATATAAGCCTCAACATCATCTGAAAGATGTCATACTCTTGTAAGATCTGTAACACCAAGAAGGTCGCCAAGGAGGTACGACGACAAAACCCACCACTGATCCATAACTCACTCGAGTCAACTCAGTCCCACCACCATTGCTGGAATTCGAAATAGAAATGCTCTTGATTTTCTGACCCCAGATTGGTTCTCCTTTCTCCGAATCCTTCTTAGATTTCACGAACTGGGTCACGTCGAAACTCGCCGAAAAATCCGATAAATTGCTCCCATTAGAAAAAATAAAATAGCCTCTCTCACCCATCACCCTCAAGTTCTCTATTTCTCCGACACCACCAAAATTAGAGCAAAATCACCATAATTTGACCTAAATTGGTAAGCCCAAATCAAAATCTAAAATTGAAACCTAGATTCAAGCTCTGTGTGTAATATTTGACCTAAATGGAAAGCATCATCTACATTGTCGCCTTCCTCTAAAAGCTTTGCATCTGCGAGCTTCGTCAATACAAGCTCACCAGGTTGGGATCTTCCTCCATCGATTTCAATAGGAACCAATCATTTGATTTTGATGGCACTGTTGTGGTAGCTGATAAGAAGAGGTATCTGAAACGAGGAGGCGATCGTCAATGTTCAGATGTTGTCCAAAGCTTAGTGTTTACCGCAGCTCATAAAGAGCTAGAAGAGGAGTTCATAAATGAAATAGATGAAGCTAGTGATGGTAGAGAAAAGCAACTACGTAGAGAGAAATCAATGGAGAAGAGGGAAATCTAGAGGAGAAGGAGTACAGACAAGAGAGAGGCAACTTAGGTAGAGTAAATGACGATCCATGGGTTTTTCAGTGGGTTCTGGTCGTGTTTCTGATGGCTCCAATGACTCCGATGATACTGGGTTGAGGTCTAAATTTAGGGCGATGGCTCCGGCGTTATGGGAGGTGGTTCAAGGCCAAAGGCAGGTGAATAACAAGATATGGATCTTGTTTGATACCGATCTTCTCTTTTTCTTGTTATACACAAGCTTTAGAGTAAAGAAATGGTGGTCCAGATGGTTTAGCTTCTTTGAGAGAGAGAGAGAGAGAGAGAGAGAGAGAGAGAGAGAGAGAGAGAGAGAGAGAGAGAGAGAGAGAGAGAGAGAGAGAGAGAGAGAGAGAGAGAGACCCCTTGCATATTAAATTTTATTTATTTATTTATTTTTTCTAAAAAAAGTAATAGAAAACCTCATAAATGGTCCCGGGTAGTTAAATGACAAAAATGCCCCTTACTTAACGGCTAAATGCTAACGGAGTGAGCCGGAAGGACCAAATGTTAAAAGTTTTGAAACCACAGGGACCATTTGTGAGGTTTTTTGAACTTAGGGACTAAACTTGATATTTTCGAAAACCACAGGGACCATTTTTGAAGTTTTGTCTTTGTTATATATATATTTCATAGGTGTTGTTCCCTGCTCTCACCTCCAGCTGCTGCTAACACATGTCTTCCGCCGTTTCCATTCACCAATTAGATTACTCCATCACACCACCAACGCCTCTATACCTAAATACCAAATGCTTTCAGTCAAAAGATCTCCACCGACTGACTCCCTGCTTTTGCTTTTGCTCCCTCTTCAACCTCTCCACCTTCTCTTTCTCTCTTCTTCCCATTCGTCTTCTACCGCTCCTCCTCCCCAAACTTGGTCGATATCTCCTAATCGGTGTCGATGTCCACCAGTACAGAATAACCCGATGAACATGCATCAGATGTGTTTTATATAGAGGCGGTTTCGATTTTTCCCACCCACCTCCACTACGTCTTCTGAAAAGTCTTCACCCGCTTCCAATTTTCTCCTGCTCTTGCTGAAAACTGTCACCGATTGAAGTCGGAACTTCCCCAACTTCACCTCCAGTTCGTTTTCTTCGGTTTCTGACCTTCCGATGTGGGCTATAATAGTGACGAGGGTTGGTAATTTCTGTTCCCGACAACGTCACTACAGGGAATCCAATTTGTGGGAAAAAGTTCTTCCATTCACTAATTGAACCTACTTTTCTCTTGCTTCTTCTTAGCACACGGATTGAAGAAAGGGTTTTGGCGGACCTTCAGTTGTTCGGTATTTGCTTCCTACCATTGTTTCGAAGGTAAGAGTTCGTTGAGGTTACTGGTAACTGTTGCTATGTTCGATCCTTTGGATTAAAATTAAAAATCTAATTGCATCGTTTTTTTCTACGGGATTTTGTAAAAAAATTATTCCTGATTGGATACTGTTTTAATCTGCAGATTAGGTGTTTCATAAAATGTAAATCTCTTTTCAATGGATAAAAAACTAAGATCGGCCCCAACTGCCATCAGCTAATTTGGTTTGGGGGGAGACAGGAGGTGAGGGAAGACAGGGAAGAGTGTAAGAGCAGGTTGATTCCATCATTTGTTTCTAAATTTCACAATTTTTAGTGTTTTTTAATCTTATTGATTCTATTCTTTGTGCTTTTTAAGTTTTGAACACCATCTGCTAGACAAAATTCTTCAACTAAAAATCCCAATCGTGTTTTTGCTTCATTTAGGCAAACACTCAGAGATATGGTGGGGGTTCATTTTGAAATCAGGTTGTTCAAGGCCAATGGCTGAAAGAAGGTTATCATGAATTCAGACGTTTTGGACGTTAGTTATGACTTTTCGTCAAAATCCAGATTAGAAGTGGAGATCTAAGTCAGGAAACCAAAACGAACAGACAAATCCCGTCCTTGATTCTTTGATTCTTAATTGGGAAAAATTGATTGTTTATTTGAATTTTATTTGTTACTTGTTTTCATCGGCCTTTATTAGATGCGGGTGGTATTTTAGTTGTGGTTTTGGGTTTGTTCTTTGGTCTTTTCTCAGTTCTTTGGTCTCTTACCCATGGTTGCAAGTGGTGGTTATCAGGCTCCTCCCACCAGATTCACAAGCAATAACTTTATTTTTGTTTGGGGGTTTATAAAACCCAAAAGTTGGATTTTTAGTTTGTCAATCTCTCCTCCATATTTAATAATAGACCGTACATTTCTTTAATTTTTCCTTTTTTCTTATATGACCCTTTGAAACTGAGTGACGAAGGATGATTTTTAGATGTAGTTTTACTTAAGAATCAAGGAATCAGAGTCATATTATAGATTTAGGGGCTCTTTTGTTTGGCCTCTTAATCATATCATGAAGAGGCTGGATTAGAGCGTTTGGTTGGTGCTTTTTGAACCGTTTAATCGGTTAAACATAAGAGAAAATGGTCTTGATCAGTCAGATGTGTTGACAAGTCTGGATGAAAAAGCTTCCATCTAATACCCTTACCCTTCTGTCTCGTTATATTGTTTTCTTGTGTGGCTGATCGATTTGTATGAAATTGATTTTTTCAAGCCCTAAAATCTGTTGATCTGTTCTTCCAGAGCTTTGTTCTTGCTGCTGAAATTTGTGTGAAATTGATTTCGTTTTTGGTGCTATCTTATGATTTTGCTGTTGAATTCTCTTGTTTTTGTGTGAACTCCTAAATTTTCTCTACCCTACCCTCACCTTTACCTATCCTACATTTTTTCTTTTTAAATAATAGTATTTTTAGGTAAGACAGGGATCAAGCGCCTAACAAAAACGGGATCAAGCACGTAACAAAAACAAACAATAGGGGCCTTCCGAGTTAAAAAAATAAGTTAGGGACCACACTTGCAAAGTATCCCAAACGATAGGGATCATGCGTGTAATTTACTCTAATATATTACCCTACTTATCTAGAAAAAATATATATACATGAATAAATAGCAGACTAACTGAAAATAATAAAATTATAATTGTTTGATTTCCAACCTTGTAGATTTTCATAGAAACAATGTTTTAAATCTTGGTGCTACTAAACAAGGAACATATACATGAAAAAACCAACATAAACCGACATCCAGATAAATAGGGTAAAATAAACAATGAGACTACTTGGTTATGATGATAATTCTCGAATAAATAATTAAAAGAGTACTTGATAATGATGGTAGTTCTCAAGTGGATCGTGGAAAGAGAATACTTTGTTATTGATGATCGTAAGCGAAACAATAAAAGAGACTACTTTGTTATAACGGTAGTTCTGAAGTATAACTAATTAACTATAATATAGACTAGTTTGTTAGGACTATTGTATTGTTCAAAAGAATACATAAAATGAGGTTACTTGGATTCGATGGTGGTGCTTGGGAAATGGACTATCATTTGAAGCGGTCTTGCGAATAGGTATTAAAATGTATACTTGCTATGCACATGAGATTGTAAAAAGGGGACTTGTGATTGGGTAGTAACACCTGTTGGATATAGTGTCTAAGTCCATAACTATATTTGGTATGTACTTGACCCGACCCGACATGGTACATTTGGGTTGCATGGCATTGCAATAATTGGATAGACCAAAATGAGAGAAAAGACACTTAAGGTTTATTAATATATTATAAGCACTAATATATTAATAATATTATTTAATTAGTATTGATCAAAGAATTAATCTTGAATTAATTAAGTGATCAAAAAGAGACTAATTAAATATATGGGGTTGATTATGTAAATAATCTATTCTTGTATAGTGGGCTAATGATCCATGGTTTGTATGGATTGGGTTAAAACCCATAAGGTGCTCCATGGATAGTCCATGGGGGTTACAAACCCATGGATCATGGAATATGGAAAGCCATGACAATTAGGGTTTACATGGTGTAACCCTAATTGTGTCACAACTATATAAAGGCTCCTTGTCTAGCAAAATGGGCACTACTACAAGCAAGTAAGATGGATAGCCAATTTTTGAGTATAGTGTAATTCTCTCAAGGTTATCCCAAGAATTGTGGTGTTGTGTGAAGCATTTGAGGCATCACATTTGGGGTGCTAGGCTCACAAAGTCATCAAGGAATCCAAGCTTCTAAAAGGTACGTTATTCTACTTGAATTTTGTATTGCAAGTTATTATGAACCTTGGAAAAATCATTTTTCATGTATCTTAGTCAAACATAGATCCAAGGTTTCTATGGTTGCATGTACACCATAGGAGTGTTAGAATGCTCAAAACCCAACAGTGGTATCAGAGCCTAGGCTTGTTTGTTTGATACTTGATGCAAAATAGCTGAAAAAGTCGAAATTCTTGCTGTCTGCACAGGAGGCTCGCCGAGTTCATAGAGGGACTCGACGAGTCCAAGCATATCTTCAACCAACTCGTCGAGTAACCAACTCGGCGAGTCAGTTCTTGCACTCGACGAGTTGGCCAGACAGAGTGCAGATTTTCGATTTTTGTTGCTGGAAATGGACTAGAAACATTACCCTAAACTGTTTTGGTGTTATAAAACTTGTTTTAGATGGTGTAATGCTTATGCTAATCCATTTACAATGGCTAATATCAAAATTCCATGTTTTATATGTGTTAATATGATTCTTGAAATTTTGATATGAATGTTCATCTTCTTATGAGTTTTAGAAGATCATAGGAATTATGTGTAACTTGCTTGTAAGTATGATTCTTGATCTTAATGGCTAATCATGGAATCCATAACTTGTCCTCAAGTTATGGATAACCAAAAGTCAATTCTTTAAAAGTGTCCTTAAAGAATAAGAGGTTACATAAAAATGAAGAATCTTCATTTTAATGAACCATTAAACTCATAAGTTATGAAATGAAAGGTCTTGAATAGTTTCAATACTTGCCCTCAAGTTTTGGAATTTGTAAAGTCTTACACCCTAATACTTTAATTTCCAAATTGAACCCTAGAATTTTAAAAGTTTAAAATTCAACCCTTATACTATTATTATATTAAAAGTTTAAATATATAGATATGTATAAGAATAAGTCAGTCTTACCGTTAGTAGGCCTCATTCACGAAGCCGGTCTATAAGGGGGTATAAGGTTGTTGCCTATAAAATGACAGCTTAATGGGTGTCCACTCTCACCCACCGCTTCCTTGACTGGTGGAGGGTCGTTAGCCGAACGGGTAGGACAAGGAATTTAAATCTTCATTAAAAGTCTAATGAAATTATAAAGTAACTACACTTTAATAATTCCCAATCTTAGTTACTTTAGGAAAACGTGAAATAGGTGCTAATCCATGAAATTACACTTCGTACCTTACCAAGTCGTTAGTAGAGCGCGTGTGGTTAACCGACACACTAACAAGGACTAGTAAGAGTGACAAAGGGTAACTTAATTTTATCATAGATCGGTGGAGCGCGTGTGTTTAACCGGCACTTCGATTAGGTGATAAAGAGTTAAGGGTACGAAATCAATTTGCATGGTTATTCACACCTTGTTTGTGATCCTCGGCATCCCAGTCACAAAATTGAGAGGGCACATTCGAGATTCAAACATGCCATTGAAAGTTCAATGTATCTCAAAAGATCTAGGAATTTCAAATCTAATAAAACGTAATAATTTATTTCGTTTTCCTGGTGGAAATTGGTAAATCATCGTTTACCTACCTTCAAATATTTTATAGCTTGGATTACGGCATCCCTCTTCCAACTATAAATAGTTTGTTGGATCCTAGCCTTAATACTTCATTTGGGTGACTTATTAAGGACTCTTTATCTAATAAAACTTGTCTTTCTTTCTTTTCAGATGTCTTCCAACACTACTTCTGGCTCAAACCCTACATGCTCCTTTTCCCTAATGAACTTGTGTGGGAAAATCACTTTTGATGGTTCAAATTTCAATGAATGGATTAGGAACATCAGAATGATTACTCGCTATGAGGGCAAAGAGTATGTTCTTGATAAGGAGCTAAAGGTTATCGATGAGTCAACTGCTACTCCTGAGGAGATTGCTGAGTACACTACCCATAAGAAAGATGCCACTAAAGTGTCTTGCATCATGTTGGCAACAATGACAGCAGAACTCCAGAAATCCTATGAAGATTTCTACCCTTTTGAGATGTACCAGGATCTGATGGATAGGTACCATCAGAGTGCTCGTCAGGAGAGGTATGAAATCATTTCCTCCATGATAACAGCTAGGATGAAAGAGGGAGAATCCCTCACCGGTCACTTGCTAAAAATGCAAAGGTTCGTGGACCGGTTATTGAAGCTTAATGTGGACTTCCCTGAGGACATGGCGATTGACATCATTCTCCTTCCTTACCTCCAAGTTATGATCAGTTTCGTATGACTTATCATATGAACAAGGAAGAAGTCACACTAAGTAAACTTCAAGGACTTTTAAGGACCGCTGAAAGTGGCCTTAAATCAGCTGTTACTCCTACTCCTACTACTGCCCATGTCTTGGCAATTGGGCAGGGAAAGGGGAAGAAGAGAAAGACCCCTTCGAAGGGTACCAAGGGAAAGTCTCTTGATGACTCCTCTTCAAGTGGAACCAAGAAAGGTTCCATTCCTCCTTCTTCAAACCCAAAGGAAGCACAATGCTTCTACTGCCAGGAAAAGGGGCACTGGAAACGAAGCTGCCCCAAATACTTGCAGGATGTAAAGGATGGGAAAGTTAAACCCACCCATGAAGGTATTTACACTATATTGTCTAATAACTCATTGAAAAATAACTCTTGGGTGCTTGATACAGGTTGTGGTATTCATATTTGTACTGATTTGTAGGGCCTAAGAAGAAGTGAGAAAGTGGAGCACGGGAAGAAAAACTTAATCATGGGGAACAGGAAAGCATCACCTGTTACCAAGATAGGAGTTTATTCTTTATTGCTTAATAATGGGTTAATGTTAGATTTGAATAAATGTTATTACTCGTCTGAAATGGCGAGAAATATTATTTCCTTTCATGGCTTGTACAAACAAGGGTTTTCCTTTTCATTTGATAATGATAATGGTGCTATTAATGTTTATTACAATGATGCATTTTACTTTAAAGCATTACCTTGTGATGGTGTATATGAAGTTGTGAATGTTGTAGATAATCTAGGAAATAATGTGTTGTGTATTGATTCTTCAAATAGCTTAGACAAAGCATCCTTGTGGCATTGTCGTCTTGGACATGTCAACAAGAAGCGCATAGGCCAACTCCAGAAGGATGGAGTTTTGGAATCATTTGACCTAAAGTCGGATGATAGTTACGAGTCTTGTTTACTTGGAAAAATGACAAAGTCACCCTTC